AATATGTATATCTGTCTAGCCATCCTGTCTATCTGTTTGCCTTTCTGTATCTGATCTTTCTTGAACATGCCCTTCACTGGAATGTAAGTGCCATGGGAAAAGCACATTGACTATTGTATTAGCTGTAGTATCTCCAGCACATGCCATAATGACATATAGTAACTGCCCAATACATACTTGTTAAATGAATACAGTATTTGCAAGGCTTTGGGGAATTAAAGGTTCATTTCATATGAAATTGGTGGCTTTAAAAGAGAATATACTAACAGCAAAATGTGCCTGCCTCTCAGACTCAGTAGCACTTCTAGACCTTCAGAAAAGCAGGTCAGAGAGAAGCAAGTTACAACTTGATAGCCCTCTGCCCTAAAATAGTCCTTTTATCTGTCTACCTACAGATAAAATGTGAAAACATGCCCTTGACCAGAAAAGTCCTTTTATTTGTCCTCCAGAAAAGGGAGGCCAGAACAATACAAACACGGAAGGAGACCCGAGTGCACCGAGACCAGCACGCGGATGCTCCAAGGGGCTCAGGCACCTCGGGCTGAGTTGAGAGGCTCACCCGCCATATCCCTCCAGCCAGGAAGGTGGGAACTGAGTCTGTAGCTAGTGAACTTAGTTCCTTCTGCTAAACACCTGTGTCTTTCATTCTGGAATCAGCACCAGCTTGTCGCCCTTGATGCTGCACCTCAAGTGAAGCAGGTGATCCCAATGTGCCTCCTGGGCCACTTGGATTTCCTAACCAGAGCTGGTCCACAATGGGCACCGCCCAGGGCTGGTGTGGGCGCTGCCAGGAGAACCTTTCTCCAGGTACTTGCTGCAAGATGTTACACCCCACCCCTCCACTTGGGGTGTAAGGGGAGAGCCTGAGGACAAAACCAGGCAGAGGAACCCAGGACAAGAGCTGGAGGGAGAGAGCTGGGCTCGGCCGGTCCACATTTCTGGCCTGTCCAACTAAAGCATAGTAACCAATGCATACATCTTAGCCCCACCAAAGCCTTTCCACTTGATCTCCATGCCCAAGCAGAATCAAGCCATCAAATAAGCAAATTTCATAGCTGAGAGCTGCTGCTGCAAACATTCTGCTGCAGGGGCAGGTCCCACCTCTTCTGTAAACATTCGGGGGTCCAGATGCAGCCCAGGAGGCCTGCGGATGCAGTGCTCCATCTGCAAGCCTGAGTTCTGTGTAGGCACAGTCCCGTGTCACTGCGAACTGGTCACGGTGAGGATACCGCTGTGTCCAGCTCAACTATAGAAGGGCCTAGCTGCTTTGTTTCAACAATACAGGTTCTGTTAAATTTCTGATAAAATTACACTGCCTGTCCACAGTTTACATATAGTGACATCCTGTCAGAACCAACAAATAATGACGTAGCGATCCGCTGCAATTCCTGTTCTCAACATCAACCCAGGGCTCACCAGCCCCTAGACTGCGCATAGAGTGTGCAGAGCCTGTCTGATCACAATGTTGCTGAGGTTTTGGAGACAGAGGTCATATTAAAGAAGCCCCTTCCATGCTGAACCACGGTAGGCATCTGGATGATCGTGAAAGTCTCAAGTCTCTTGAATCCAAAGCAAAGCAAATTCTCTATAAACATTTGAGTTCCTCCTGACAGGGGGATGGCTGCCAAACCTCAAGCTAAGAAACTTAGATGTAAAGTTTTCTTTTAAAAGTACTTAACATAATTGAAAAATTTCATACTCAGACACTGTTTTAATGAAGAAGAGTTTATAGAAGGCTGGGGAGAAAAATTTTACTTTGGAACCGCAAAAGCTCTGAATGAGCTTACGATGTGGAAGTGGTTTACATACTGATCGGAGGCAATAAACTCAGGCTGGATATGGGGGAAAGAGGGACATTAGGGTCCTTCTTAAAGGGCATTGCCACGAGGGTGAGGAGAAGGACTAGTCTCCGATCTGCCGTCCACCAAGGTCTGGAATGGAGGCAAGGGACGCCAGGGTTTCCCAAACTTTTCTTCCATCAACAAGATCATTATCTTTCTCAATGGTTTCTCTAGGAAAAGTTTAGAAACAGTTTTTCAATTTTTCCATTCATTATTAAGCCTTAAAATTTACATGAAATAGAGGTTAGTCACTAAATTGATAAAATCTCAACCAAATTCAAAGAAACAATAGTTAGAAATATTTCTAATTGATTAAACCTTAGCCAAAATAAAAGAGACCTCACCTATCTATGTAAGCTTTTACAAGTACCTTTAGCCCAGAACCTTTGCTGGGACACTAACCATGAGCATCTGCCGGTAACATGGGCATTGTTTCTGAAACCACATCTGATGTTTACTCGGCCTTGGTTTAAGCACTTCCTTTGACTTAAGGAGACAAAGTTGTCAGTTCTAGAAATCAAAACCGGTCTCTCCGGCCAGATCGTTAACCTTCCTAATCCAAATTCTAACCCAAACATTAAACAACATGAACCATTTGAATCCAAACATTCGTGGGGCCGGGGCTGCGTTTCTAGTTCCCTGACCCCAGGTGCAGCCAGAGGACAGAGTCGGGAGTGATGAGAAGCATGACTTCCAGCCCAGGACACCTGGACCCTTTCCCTGCTGAAGCTCACAGGATCCTGGCTCGAAGCCGAAGACACATTCCACTCAGGCCAGATCATTTGGTATAAAAAATGGACAGTGTGCTTAGGTCTGAAACTGCACAGGGCTATGTCCTATCAGGATGCATTTGCAAACAGACGGGTGTGGGAGGGCTTTGTGACCCCCACTAGCTTGTGTGACCCTACCAGCCTGGCTCTCAGACACTCTTCCCCTCTGACCTGCATCACTTTCCTTCCTTTGGAAACTCCATCCCCTTAATTCAAAACAGTAGAGTCTCCTGAGAATAAAGATCTCAAAATGGGATAAAAGCCTCAAATAATCGGTGGTTGAGCGTTGGATTTATGAACCAGGAGGTCACAGTGCCATTCCCTATAAGGACACATGCCGGGCTCCATCCCCACTGGGGGCGGGGGGGGGGGGGGGGCGTCAGGAGGCAGCTGATCAATGATTCTCTCTCATCCTCTCTCATCATTGATGTTTCTATCACTCTCTCCCTCTTCCCTCCTCTCTGAAATCAGTAAAAACCTGTATTTTTTTTTAAATGTGGAATTACTCTTGATGAGCAAAGATTTTTCCCCCCCATTATTTTTTTCAATCTTACAAACGATGAGGGGTAGTTTTTACACACTGGACAGAAATTGTGTGTAAATAGAACAGTAAGCCGAGCCACCAGGTCTCCTGAAACATGATAGACAGGGTGGAACTTGTTCTGATTGTTGTAACCTCCAACACAGTGATGTGACACTCCCCGGGCAGTCACCGCAGGTGTTCTGGACAGGAAGCACACAGGAGGCCGATTCTCAGAGGCCCTGCCAAAGACTCCAACTACATCCCAACATGTGACCCCTCAGGTGGTGACCCCGCAATGGGGACCCAGAAATATCTGTTGAAAGGGGATGAAAATGACAGGTTTCCACCAGGAGGGTAAATCTCACTTCCTTATGCTCAGGTACCGATTCAGAGCACTCACACCAGTGCCAATGAGGAAGCCCCGCCTGCCTGAGATCCTCAGGGTCCCAGGAGCAGTCCGTGGGTATCTTTGGCTCTCAGAGACCTCAGACTGTGGGGTGACGGCAGGCAGGGCAGGTGACAGCTGCAGGATGTCACTTCGGGGACCCCCACCAAGCACAGTCACCCTTCTTTCTGCCTCCTGCCTCCACAACTCAAGCATAGCCAAACTCAACCATCACCAAAGTTCTAAATATCACCTATTCAAACAAAATAGAAGGAAAATGATGCAAATCCATGGCCTTTCAAATACTAGATATTTACAAATAACAATTTGGAATCATTAAAATTAAAAACTTCGGAAGAACTTTTCTGTGAACTGCAAAGACTGGGAGTAGCCCTGAATCCAAACCGCTGTGGGGCAGAGTCTTGATGTCATCCCTAACTCCTGTGGGACGCAGGGGACCTCAGCGTCACCCCAACTTCTGCCGGTGAGCAGAGGATCTCCGCGTCAATAGATGCGCTACAGCGAGAACCCTGACAAGCCAGCTCCCTCCAGCAAAGGGTAAAGAGTCGTCCTGACTCCGGGTTCTTGACTCCGTACTCACTTGTGACCCGAGCCTGGTCCGCTCCGGGGCCCCTCGAGGCGGACGCCCAGCCAGGAAGAGGAAGGCGCGCTCCCCGGCCCCGCCTCCGGGCGCAGGGCGGGCCGGCGCACACCTGGGCAGGTACGCGGGGCTGGGACGGCTCTGCCTGGTGGCAGCCAGGGGAGGCTGTGCCCGGCTCTGTTCCCGATGGCCTCTAGGGCACCCCACCTTTTAGAACCGAGGTGACTTGGGTGGCGGTCCCTGTCCCGGAGCGGACGGTTGTGCACGGGGTACGGACCGGGACACTGGGGGTCTCGGGGCCCAGAGGGGCCCCTGGTCGCGTGGGGACCCCGCTCACCCCAGATCGCTGGCCTCAGGTTCCGCCCCCGAGGCCCAGGTGAGGGGGGCTTTCACCTGAGCCGCTCAGGTCCCCGCCCCTCCTGTAAGGCTCTGCAGCCCACCCCCAGCCACGCCTAGTGCCAGGGATCCGGGCGGGCGCCCTCCTCACCCTTAGGTGCTCCCTCTGCAGAACCCTGACCCGAGCCCGCCCCACCCAGCTCTGTCCAGGTGACTCACGACCCGCCTTGCTCTCGGTCCCGCCCCTCCCTCAGGTTTCAGCCCCGCCCTCTCCTCCGCTCCTCCCCTAGACCCCGCCCACCAGTCTGTAGCACCGCCCCCTCTCCACCCCGCCAGAGGCCCTGCCCATCTCCACCTGCCAGAGGCCCCGCCCACCAGGCTATGGCAACGCCCCGCACCGAGGCCCCGCCCACCAGGCTATACCAACGCCCCGCCCAGTACCGCCCCTCTCCGTCCCTCCCCTGAGGCCCATTAGCCCCGCCTCCCGCCGCGTAGTTTACGTCCCACTGCGCAGGCGCGAGTTTCGCAGGCTCGCCCCCGGAGGCTCTAAAGTCGAACGGCGCAGGCGCACGGGGCAGTCCGCTCAGAGTGCGCATGCGCTGCGCCTGTACAGTTCCTACGCGGTCTGTGGGCGCCTCCGTGTTTGCGCGCGAAGATGGCTGAGCAGGCACCGAAGTCGGTGCTCTTCGTGTGTCTGGGTGAGACGTGCGGTTCTAGCCCCGGCCCCACTGCCCTGGGGGTTGGGTGGGCCCTGTGCGCTGGGGGCTGCGCGCTGGGCGAGGACGCGGGTCCCGAGGGTGGGCCGAGCGCCCCGCTTCCCCTCCGAGCAGCGCTGCGCCGCGGCCCGGTCTGTCTGCACGGCTGTCCCCTCGCCTCCCCTCGCCTGTCCTGTCTCCCAGCCTGGTCCTTCCCATGGTCCTGCCGGAACCCCTGTCAGCCCTCGCGGGGGGACCTCCTGCTGCCTCCTCCCAGCACTGCGCGGCCTTAGCTGGTGATGTCCACGCCCAGGCCTAGGAATGAATCTGAGCTGAAGGCAGCGGCACTGCACGGGTTTGGAGTTTCTGTGTAAAAACAGGGGAGACCTAATTCCCAGCTCTCTGCGCAAGCACCCTCCTCTGTACCTTCGCGGGGGCGGGTGACGCTTCTCGCCGCCCCATGGATGCTTACGAGCACCTTCTCGGTGCGGAGGCGGGGTTACTGCCCGGTGTGCATCGAGGGCGTGGGGCCCGGAGTCTGTGAACTGTCTCTGCTTTGCAGGCCCTCCCTCGCCCATAAAGGGTCCAGCATGGCTGGGATCCAGCTGCTTTACTGAAGGACACTGGGATTTGAATTCCGTACCATTTTCTCATGTCACAAGAGGTTCCTCTACTTTTGAGGGTTTTTAGAATGTATTTTAAAATGTAGAAATTATATTTAGCTCCGTGGGCTGTACGCAAAGGTGGTGGCTTTTGGTCCACTGCTCCAGGTCTGAGGAGGACTGGAGAAGCCTTCCTCGGAGGACGTGAGCAGCTGTTGGGCTGAGATTAGACACAGGGCGGGGCCGCAAGGGGGACCAACCGGCTGGGAGGGAGGATGCATCGAGCCCGATGAGGATGTGGGGTGATGAACCCCATCTCACCTGGGACCTGTGCCTGGGACAGTGGGCGCTGTTTCTAAAGCGTACAGATCTCCTTCCTTCAGAGCCTCTACTTGGACCTTTTTCAGACTAAAGTAAAGAGTGTCACATGCTTTTCACTGAATCGAACTCCTTCGTTTGGCAAGAATATTAAATGTTTTTATGTTTTTGTAAGATAGCTGTGCCACAGCCCGCACGGTTGCAGATGATACCATATTCACCATATTCGTGGTGTCAGAGGACTTTTTCTGACAACAACTCAATGTGTGTGTCACACACTGTGCTGGGTGCTGGGGCCTCCCTGGGTGGGACAGATGCAGCGCCTGCCCTTGGAGAATTTAAAATTTTTTGAGTCTCTTACCTTGAAATGAAGGTATTGAATAAGTACATATTATGCTTCTAATTTGGAAAAAGCAAATTTGAGACTTTGTAGATTGAAATTTTTTTTCTAGCCAAAACCGGTTTGGCTCAGTGGATAGAGCGTCGACCTGCGGACTGAAAGGTCCCAGGTTCGATTCCAGTCAAGGGCACATACATTGGTTGCATGTACATCCCTGGTAGGGAGTGTGCAGGAGGCAACTGGTTGATGATTCTCTCTCATCGATGTTTCTGGCTCTCTATCCCTCTCCCTTTCTCTCTGTAAAAAATCTATAATATATATATATATATATATATATATATATATATATATATATATAATAGAAAATTTATATATATATATATATATATATATATATATATATATAAATTTTCTAGAGGAATCTGAAGATGACATAACTTTCCCAACTTTCTTGAAGGTGGACCTTGTGCTGTGTTTTCCCGACAAGCTCTCCCTTACATGACATGTCAGTTTAGTGATGTCAGTTGAGGGAGGTATAAGCAAGCATCTCGTATCTGTTGCTCTCTTAGGTAGGACTTTGACGTCTAATCTTTACAGTGGTGATCTTTTTTCTACCTACACTTACACAGATACCTTCTTGCTGTAAAAGTAGCCATCTGGGGGGAAAGTGTGGAAAAAGCCCATTCATCCAGTCGCCTCACTCAAGTGCCCTTTCCAGACGGTGTCCATTAAGGTCCTCTTCAGTCTTTAAAGATCCGCTCTCATCTTCCTTGTTTTCTGATAACCAGGTTTTTTCTGAGGTTGTTTGTTCTCTTTAGAATTCTTTCCTGTGCTCCCATCACCAGCACTGATTTTTCTGTTTTATTGTAGCTAACTGTATCTCTGTGAATACATTGAATACACATGGTGGAGATAATTTGAGAGAAAATTTTTTCTTTTATCTTTTTCCCCTGTGACTGAGAAAAGGGATGGCTTTGTCCTGGCTCCTGGGAGGAGTGTCTGTTCTCAGGGAGCACCCTGCCCTGCATGGGGGACAGAGGCGATAACTCAGCCCTCAGGCTGATAATCTAGAGGTCATGGCTCCTTAACGAGAACCCAGCGCACCCTCTGCATCCAAGCCTGGCGAGCATCCTGGGCTCACGCTGATGACGGGGGCGATGTGTCCCTGAGACCAGAAAGCTTTCTGCTGGGAACCCTCCAAGGATCTGCTGTATGCTCCTTAACTTTGCCTGGTTCTGCTTTAACTTTTTATTAAAATAAAAGTGCAGTTATAAGTATAGCATTTTCTGGAATGCTAATAAGTCCTCTTAAAGGGTTATTTAACCTGTGGGACTCCCACAATTGTGGACAGCTGTTCTGAGTGAGGGTGGCCCTGGAGGTCCCCACGTGGTGCCTAGAAGCCGTGTCTGTGGCTCAGGCCGACTCCTGGGTCCAGCCCTTCAGCAAGGACTCCACACACACACACACACACACACACACACACACACACACACACAGGGTGCAATGAAAGTCTGTGCTGACCCTCATGCTTAAGCACATCAGTGTGTCTTTCATGAAATAGTAGTCATCCTTGTTAAGTGCAATATACTTGAAAATGCTTTATTTTTTAGCTGTTGCATTTCATTTTAACATTAATTGGTTACTACCCACTAAGTTGATTTCATGACCCACTCCAGGGTCATTGATAGCAACCTGGAAGACTGACTTTGGTTATGACTGTCTTTGTCATTGGTGCTTTGAGTGCTTGAACCGTGGGTGTCAGACCCTTGAACTTGGGCTTGGCCAGCTGATGCTCACAGGTTCTGCCTCCACGGGCAGGGCGATGGCCTCCAAACAGATGCTCTCCCGGGAAGGCGCGCCCTGGGCAGGTGTGATGAGGCCTACCGGGCCCTGTGCTGGCAGTCAGCACCTGTCCTCCCTCCAACCTGACCTTCACTTCTGTCCTCCCGTTTTTTTTAAGGTAACATCTGTCGATCACCCATCGCTGAGGCCGTTTTCAGGAAACTTGTAACTGATCAAAACGTTTCAGATAAGGTAAGAGCTGTTTGCTGTCTTAGAGAGGCCAACCTGAATGCCTTTGGGGCAGGAAATGGCGAAAAAAATTTTTTTTCTCCTGCAGTGGAGGATAGACAGTGCAGCGACCTCCACGTACGAAGTAGGAAACCCTCCTGATTATCGAGGGCAGAATTGCATGAAGAAGCATGGTGTCCCCATGAGTCACGTTGCCCGGCAGGTACCGTACCTGAACCTGAAGGTTCACGCGTGTGTTTTGTGTTACAGTGGGTCATTGACAGCAGTGCTGTTTCTGCCTGGAACGTGGGCCGGGCACCAGATCCCAGAGCTGTGAGCTGCCTAAGAAATCATGGCATCGACACAGCCCACAGAGCAAGACAGGTAGAAGAGATCTCCCTTAACTTCCATGTCTGTCACGCAGAGGCCCGTAGCTTTGGAGGCTGTGAGAGCTTAACCAGACTTCCCTGTTGATGTGTTTATTCATGGTCTTTCGATTGCAGCAGTACACCCATTCCATCTCACTGCTGGTCCACAGACCTGGGGTCTTGGACTTTACTTAGTGAACAGAATTAGTGACTGATTTGTCCCGAGGAGGGCCTAGGCAGGAGCCACTGAGACACTTGCTCCCTTCACAGGGGTGTTGCTGGAGTGCAGTCCTTCAGTCTATACCCGGCGCTTTGATCTGAGAGGCACCTCAGCAGCCTCAGGCCATGCTGACGCTGTGGGTGCACAGCCTGCACGCCAGCACTGGGTTGTCTGGGTTCAGGTTCCCAGTGCTGCCCAGTAGAACCTGTGGTGATGGGGATGGTACGCTGTGTCTGCCCCTCCGGGGAGGCAGGTGACCGCCGCTCACTTGACGTGATGCCGTGTGGCCCATTTAACTAACGTAATCACCCCTGGGATCAGTGGACAGCTTACTGGACTGCAGGGTCCTAGGTTTACGTACCACGGGGGGGAGCTCCTAGAGAGGTTGGTCCTTCAGAATGTCTCACACCTTACTCAGCAGGAACTGATTATTTTATGGAGATTCAGTGGATTTTTAAAAATCTGGCTAAAATCTTCTTCCTTTTGTAACCAACCTAAGGGAATGTCAGGCCCCGCAGGCCAACAGGACTGCAGGTTAGCATCTGAGGACAGGAGGCCCTGTCCCGAGATGGGCTTCGGGGCAAGGAGCTGAATGCTTTGAAAATCAGTCATCAAATATGTTACATTTCAAAAAGTATGGATGGCAATGCAAGAATTATGAATTAGTATTAGTGCTTGAATCAGAACTTTAATCCTTGTTATACTAAATCTTGAAAAGCTTTTCAGTTTGCTTTCCCACACTACACTGTGGTTTTAATTTGATCATCACAATTTTTATCCTCTTCATTGCCCTTAGGGAAGGGACTAGTTGGTAAACCCATTTTGCAGATCAAGAAAGTGAGTTCTGGAGAGAAAATAAACTATCTAAAGTTACCTAGCTTCACATGGAGAGCTGGGATTTATTTCATCATCACTTTAATAAAAACATTAAGGTTGTGAGCTAGAAAATTCACAAAACAGAATTGTCTTAGAAACACTTTTAATATATTAATGATGCCTCACAGCTGATCGATGTTTCTCTATCATCGATGTTTCTAAGACTATCCCTCTCCCTCCTCCCTGTAAAAAAATCAATAAAAAATGTATGTTTTAAAAAACGATGCCTCAGGAATTAGTCAGACATTATTTTTGGCTTAGAGAGGTTTAGGCAGATCTGTGAACTCAGTTTCCGGCTGTTTCATATGACTCTGTATTAGCAATTTACTGTTTAAATTACCTGTCTTAAGGACCGTACTCTTTCCTAACAGGAATTTTCATTGGACAGAGGGGTGAATTTTCTCATTTGCCCATCTGATCTGGTCAGGCTTTCGCACACTTTGCTCTTTAAAGAATGTAGACATATTTTGAGGAGTTCTTCAGAATTATGAGCAATCATACTTTCATATTTCCTATTTTTCACTGAGATCTGATGGTTTTTCATGCATTGTTATATACTAACAGTGGGTACAAAGAATGTATTTTAAATATATAAGGTATTTTGGTTTTTAAGAAATCAAAGCTAGAAATTTTATTTTTTTAAAAATACCAACAGTTACCAGTTTGAGAAATAGTATTCCCATATACCCTGTTTTTGCTTTTTTCTTTTCTTGTTATTAAATTTTTTTCCTCAAATTTTTAAAACTTTGCTGCTAGTTTAAAAGCTAGTGGTAGTAAATATGTTTTATAAGTCAGTGGCACATTAGATCTTTAATTTTAGGATCTCGCTAATGTTTATAGGTTTTCTCTTCAGTCATTATCACCACTTGTGTGAGAACTGTTGTTTTCTGCTGCTTAGAAGGTTCATTTCCCTGGGCGGGTTTAATAAAGAGAATGCTCGTAGATGGTTTTTCTTTGTAATGGGCGCAGGCAGTGCTCCTGAGCGAGCGGAGACTCACATCCGGTTCGCGCTGTGGAGATGTTTACGTTACTGGACATTCTTTCCTCTTTTTAGTAAACTTCTCTGACATGAGCACCAGAGTCAGTACGTTTCTACAGCATGACCAGGCCTCTGCTCCCCTCCTCCAGAGTCACCGGGAAAGTGGGTCCTGTCTTGGACTCCTGTGGCTCATGCCTGACTCCCACTGCGCCCCTGTGGCAGGTGGCCCCCGTGGCTGGTCTCGTGGTCACGCTGGGCCTGGCACCTGACAGCTGGACGCAGCTCAGGTCTGCCTCTGCTTGACACGGTGGCTCCAGTGATGCTCTGTGCTGTGGGTGTGTGTGCGTGTGTTCCAGGGAACACCAGTGTGCGTTCTCTTGGACACACACCCAGAATCAGTGTGACCAGGTTGGATATACCCAGACTTGGGAATTTGGGGGGGGGATTGTTTGTTTTATTGATGTTGAGCTGTATGAGTTCATCCTGTATTTTGGATAGTAACCTCTCATTGGATAGATCATGTATAAATACCTTATCATTCAGTAGGTTGCTTTTTTGTTGTTGTTGTTGTTGACGGTTTATTTGTGGCACAAAAGCTTTTTAATTCGATGGAATCCCCTGTGTTTACTTTGCCTTTTGTTGTCTTTTCCCTGGGGACATACTGCTGAGACCCATGTCAGCGTTCACTGCCTGTTTTCTTCTAGAATCTTGTGGTTTTAACTATCTTACAGTGAAAACATTTAGTCCAGTCCATTTTGAGTTTATTCTTGTACCTGCCATCAGAAGGTGGTCTGTTGTCATTGTTGTGCATGTGTCTGTCTCATTTTCCCAGCACCATTTATTGACTCATCTGTCTTTACCCCATTGCATGTTCCTGTCTTCTCTGTCAAATGTTAACTTACCTATAGGCATGGGTTTATTTCTTGGCTCTCAATTCCATTCCATTGATCTGTGTCTGTACCATGCTGTTTTAATTACTAAGGCCTTGTTGATAGTTTGAAATCAGGTGGTGTGATACCTCCAATTTTGTTCTTTCTCAAGATTGCTGTGGCTATTTAGGGTCTTTTGTGTTCCGTATTAATTTTAGGATTATTTGTTCTAGTTCTGTTAAAAATGCTATTGGTATTTTGATACGGGTTGAATTTTTAGATTGCTTTGGGTAATATACATGTTAATTCTTCCAATCCATGAACATGGAGTATTATTCTGTCTTCTTCAGCAGTGTTTTTTCATTTTCCAAGTACACGTCTTTTACCTCCGTAGTTAAATTCATATATACAGAGTGGCCAGATTATGATCTCTGAACACATAATCTAGCCACTCTGTGTGTGTGTGTGTGTGTGTGTGTGTGTTGATGTTAGCTGTAGGTTTGTCATATATGGCCCTCTTTATGTTCCCTCTATTCCCACTTTGCTGAGTTTTTTTTTTTATCATAAATGAGTGCTAGATTTTGTCAATAGTTTTTCTGCATCTGTTGATATGACTGTGATTGTTATCTTTCATTTTGTTTATGATGTATCACATTTATTAATTTGTGAATATCACATCAACCTTGCATCCCAGAATAAATCCCACTTGATCACCGGGCATGCTCTTTTTAATGTATTGCTGAATGTGGATTGCAAATGTTTTGTTAAAGATTTTTTTGCCTGTGTTCATTGGGGATATTAGCTTGCATTTTTCTTTTTTAGAAATGTTTCTTTCTGGTTTTGGAATAAGGGTAAGGCTGACCTTGTAAATGAGTTTTTAGGGCCTTCTCTGCTCTTGAAATTTTTGGAATAATTTGAGAAGAATAGGTGATTTGAAGCCATGTCTCGGACTTTTGTTTGTTGGGAGCTTTAGATTACTTTGATTTTGTTACTAGTTTAGATTTTCTGATTTTTTTCTGACTGAATCTTAGAAAATTGTATGTTCCTAGGAATTTATCCATTTCCTCCAGATTGTCCTATTTGTTGACATATAGTTGTTCATAATATTTTCTTACAATTCTTGGTATTTCTTTGGTGTAAGTTGCTACTTCTCTCCTTTCCTTTCTGATTGTATTTATTTGGGTCCTCTCTTTTAACCTTGGGTGAGTCTGAATAAAGGTTTGTCAATCTTGATTATCTTTTCAAAGAACCAACTCTTGGTTTTATTTCTATTATTTTTTGGCCTCTACTTTTATTTCTTCTTTAATCTTTATTATTTTCTTACTTCTATTCACTTTGGGCTTTGTTTGCTCTTTTTTTAGTTCTTTAGGTGTGAGGTTAGGTTGTTACTTGAGATTTTTATTATTTCTTGAGGTAGGCCAGTAATACTATGAATCTCTCTTAAGACTGATTTCACTGTGTCCCATAGATTTTTGGGTCATTGTGTTTTCATTTTCATTTGTGCGTGTATGACATTTTGATGTTAACTGAATTCTGCATTGTTACTAAGAAATTGAAGATGAAGTATAAACTCTTGGTCTACATATTATACTTGTTCATATTTATTCGGGAACTTTATAATATAACTAGAGGCCTGAGACACAAAATTAGTGCCCGGGTGGGGTCCCTAGGCCTGGATGGTGATCTGATAGGGCCGGCTGCTGGCCAGAGCCTTCCTTCGTTCCATGCCGCCCTCTGGTGGTCAACACACATCATAGTGGGTGGCCAAACTCCCAAGGAGATAATTTGCATATTAGCCTTTTATTATAAGGGATATTTTTTTGCAATATAATTTTAGGAAATAAGTTAACTCTATTTTCATTTAAAATTGCCCTAAATTTAATTTTTGAGTAATAGATTTTAATATAGCAAATTTTTTTTACTGCTCTGTAATCTCTAGGCTTGATTGGTATAAATATAAGTACTATGTTTTTGACTTCTTATGTAATTTCAGGTTACTAAAGAAGACTTTGTCACGTTCGATTATATTCTGTGTATGGATGAGAGCAATCTGAGGTAATCAACTTTCTGAAGGATATTTCTGTTCAGCCCCCACCCCAGTAACAGGCCAAGTAGTGTGCTGTCCAAGTGACTTTTCTATTATCTTAAATTTTTTATTAGATAGTGATGGCCACCGTTTACAGAATTACCTTATTCAGAATAGTAAGGAATTCAGAGAGGAACTTAGAGTTGTCTTGTGGGCATATTTACAGAGACACTGCTCAGATGGGGACAGCTGAGTTAGCGCCTGTAACTCGGAGGGCAGCTGGTGTGTGGGCAGTTTTCCCAGCGGTGCGGTTCCATGCTCGCGAGGAGTGGCTTTGCTGTGGCTGCAATCACTCCTGGACAGTGTGGTGTTTTATTGTTTCTCATCTCACACCCCCCACCCCTGTGCAAAAAAAACTGAGGCTGACAGAAAACATCTTACTCTATTTAAATTGTTGATTGCCTTAATTGGTTTTAAAAAACAACCACCTGAAGCCGTAAGGTATTTGATGAAAATGGCTGACCCTGATGTAATATGTTGTCAGCTCTGGGTGTGAAAGCCGAAACCGGTAGGTGTACATATTTGCCCCATCTTAGCGGGGACTCCGTGCATAGGGCGCTGAGGGCCCAGGCTCACAAATTCGGTGGGTGTGTCCTCCGCTCAGGAAAGCAGAGTCCTGCCATGTGCCTCACATGAGCCTGGGTCGCTTTAGGGAGATGGTCTGTTAAGACACTAACACGTTGCCGAAACCGGTTTGACTCAGCGGTAGAGCATCGGTCTACGGACTGAAAGGTCCCGGGTTCAATTCCAGTCAAGGGCATATACATTGGTTGCGGGCATGTCCCCAGTAGGGGGTGTGCAAGAGGCAGCTGGTCGATGTTTCTCTCTCATCGACGTTTCTAGCTCTCTATCTCTCTCCCTTCCTCTATGTAAAAAATCAATAAAATATATTTAAAAAAAAAAAAAAAGACACTAACACGCCCCATGACAGCTCCACGCTCAGGCGAGATGTGTTGCCATGTAGCCCAGCGAAGTTGATTTTCCTCCTGCAGCAGGTGAGGGCTAAGGGGGGGTGCCAAGTTCTGTCCCAGCTCAGGTGCAGCCCAGGCCCAGGAGTGAGCAGTGAGGCCAAGACCCCCGAGGGAGCAGTGAGGCTGACAGGGACCCAGCATCTCCGGGGCTGACAGCCCTCAGGGCTTAGCTCCCATGGATGTCTCTGTTTAATCCCTGAGGCAAGTGTCTGATGGGATTCACGGGGAGTCCTGGGCTGTGCTCGGATTTGAGGATGAGGTTTGGTGTGAAAGGTCCGGAGACAGTGCTGCTGTGCCGCTGACAGATGGCTGCCTGAGGTCGTGGTCCCATGCCTTACGAGCTGTGCGGATCAGGCTGCCGCTGCTGGTGTTCCATAAAACCCTGGCTCATGTCCCTGCTTAACCGGAGACCACTGGTCAGAAAGCTAAGTTACCGCTTCTATTTTACAGAGATTTGACTCGAAAAAGTCATCAAGTCAATAACAGCAAAGCTAAAATTGAACTACTTGGGAGCTACGATCCTCAGAAACAGCTCATTATTGAAGACCCCTATTACGTGAGTACGGGCCTTGCCCACACGGGGCCAGTGTGAGGACCACCAGCTTTGTGTCCAGCCACACAAGTGACATGCTGAGGTTCTCGGGCATTTTGTTCCCCAGGTTTAGTTATTTGTCTTTCCTCCTAGGGAAATGAGTCTGACTTTGAGACCGTGTACCAGCAGTGTCTGAGGTGCTGCAGGGCCTTCCTGGAGAAGGCCCACTAGTGCGTCCGTCCCTGCGCCTGCTGGTGCCCGGCCCCGCGTCCCAGCCGAGGGCCACGTCCGTAGCTCAAGGCCAGTGCTGGTACTTCCGTCCACTTACTGTTTCTTACTTTAAAAATAATTGTAGATGGAAATCAGTGGTTCTGTTTGCAAAAGAATAAATACCTTTGACTCAGACAGTTTATGGGGCACATGAAGTGTTCTTACACCAGTGGGGCCTCCCACTTGGCTCCCGTTACAGATGATCTAGTAGAACAACCTAATCCGTCTGTCAGCATGTGAGCCTCGTAAGTCACCTGCCCTCCCTCTTCCCCGAGTCTGGACGACATGAGGAGGAGCGCCCTGTCCCGGCACTCCCTTCCCGGGCAGCAGGGCCCTCCCGAGGGCTCACAGCCAAGGAGGGTGTCCATTTACACTTGTAGGAAAGAGGCTCATGGAACAGCAATCCTTCCTAGTTTCTGTCTAGCTTGTAGCATAAGGGAGTCCGCTTATTTGTCCCATTTGAGCCACAGTTACATCCAGAAAGGACACTTGTTAGCTGCTTTATCTGTGGTTGGTAAGAGTTGGAAAAATTTTATGTTGGCATGCTTAAATATTGATGTGGTGATACGTATTCTTCAGTGCTTAATTTATAGGTAATTTCTATGTTCTTTCAGATAACTAATCTAAAATTCATATGGCTACATGTTAGAGAAGACTTCAAAATAAATTGGGGAAGTTATAAAAATACAACTAAGATGTAAGTCTGCTGTCTGCCTGCTTTTTTATTGACAAGTGAAGAATTGGAAAGGATGCTCTGATTCTCCCTTCCACATGGTCTGTGATGCCATAGACAGTTACCTCTGGTGTTAGGAAGGACAAGGGTGAAAATGACAGTTATGTCTGTTGGTGGAAAAAGTTCAAGGCCCCTACAGCCCAAGTGTCCTCACCTGACCCTTTGAGTGGCTGTTACGGTTTCCTGGGCGGCAGTTCACTTTGTCCACACACTCCTAGCTCTGTCTCCGTCACAGGGCAGTCCCCCACCAGAGTCTGGGGTCGCTTCCTGGAGGAGTAATAGAGGAAGGCTGCCTACTTCTCCTGGGTGTTGGGAGCCTTCTGTCGGCAGCGTCATGAGGGTCCCAGGCCAGGTGCTTCGTCCTGAACCCCCCTTGTGCCTGAGGATGAGCAGGTGGTTGTCCCACCATGCACCAGGGTTGCAGAGGCTGGGAGAGGGGAGGCCAGGGCAGGAGACGGCGGGATTCCTCTCGAGTCACCATGAAAGCTTTTCCTAGGCCATCCAGGCCCTTGAGAGGGTAGACTGAGAGTTTGATAAGATCCCTAAAAAGTGAAGACTGGAGAAGTTCTGTAATTAACCAGTAAGAACTTATGATTAAGCGAGCACTTCAAACAATGTACCGGTCTTCCAGAAATCGCTTCTGAAGCTGGAAGCAGAGCTTTCTTTCCCTCTCCTGTCCCTCGATGTTCACAATGAATGCCTATCGTTTGTTTTTAATGTTTAACATCAGGTGCGGTACTCAAACTCCAGGACTTTCCACATCGTTGTCCCTAGACTGGGGTTCATAAAGAGAAATTTCCCCAAATTCACTTGTCTTTTTAAATTGACCCAGTCAGATTTGTGCCTATAAAAACTTGGAGCTGCTTGGCAGTCAAGCTTAGTCACACGGGAGCTACAGGTACAGCAGACATTGAAACGTTCACTGTAACTATGATAACTGTGGATTACAAAAATGCACAGCCTTTCCGTTTTGCTTGTTTATGCCTTTTATGCCTCTGGCATGCAGCCAATATCGATTTGTACACCATCATTCCCAGCGATGGATGTGTTAGAAAGTAAAAGTCACTTTTAAGATTTTATTATAACAAACACTTTATTACTGGCCTTATTTACAGTATGTACATACTGCACAGTAGGCAGATCCTATCTTACATTTATCACACAAAGGGCAGGTGAATTGACATCGCTGTGCACACGATTACACGTCACTGTCTCCAAAGCATGGCTGAAGTCATCTTTTTAAAAAAATTTTCCATGCAATTCCAAATAATATCTGGGAATTTAATTGTAAAACTAACAAAAATATTAAATCATACCATATGCTATATGAAAATATAGTTTCAAATCTATATTTGAAATCTAAAGAAATACTCTGTGATTTCACCCAACCAGGAGAGTGAGGTGCCTTTGTCCATGCGTGGTATGGCTGGCAAATGCGTGCTCGCTTCCTAAGGGAAAGGCGGGCTCACTGTCAGGTGTCGCAAACAGTGTCAACATACGAAACTGAAGGAATCACGGGAGTCTGCAAAAATAACTCTTGTTCGGGGCGTGTGTGTGAAGGTAGTAGGATCTGTGTCCCTGTTGGTCTCCAAGGCACTTCTCTGGTTTCCCTTGTGTTCCGCTCGCTGCTGAAACAAACATGGGGCTGTCACTCTCGTTACCAGCCCCAGAAGACCTGTGTTCTAAGTCATGTAACATGACATCTGTAAACATGAGGAATCTGTGCACACACGGTTCTCTGCCCCTCACGTGGGAGCTAACTCAGGTACGGTGACTGCACACCTGCCCAGCTGAAGGTGCGAGGACTGCCGAGAGCACGGTGGATGTCTGGTCCTGCCATCACTGTCAGGTCCTCAGAGCTCAGGGGGCATCCTGGGCAAGACTGAGCGGCCCGGACCTCAGTGTGAGCATCTGCAAGGCTACCAAGAAGCAGCACTTGACCTCCGCTTGGTCCTGAGCCGCCGGCATGGCATCGTTTTAGGGATGACAAGCCAGCGTTACTGGGCCAGGTATTCCAGGTCCTGTGCCCGGTGTGAGTGTGTGCCGATTGAAGGAGTGAGCAGGTGTGACTTCATATGTGCACCCTACTGTGCACACTGACTCGTGTGCTGAAATAGCTTCACATAAACACTGCGCCAACCATGGCATCACATGAGTACTTGATGGGCGGCCTGGGACTGGGCCAGGACGGGCACCTTTTACTGACGTTCTGAGTGTTCCTGAAGCCCCACGAATTGTTTCCAGGCCCCAGCCGAGTGTGTGGAGCTTACCTCATCCGTCCATGCACACGGGGCTCACAGCCAGCCGGGTCAGCAGCCGGGCACACCTCTTGTAGTCTGAGTGGAGAGAAACCCCGGATTCATCAGTCCCCAGGTAGCCCCAGTGAATGGCATTTACAACAACCACACAACTGCTAAGGCCATTGAACTCCCTTAAGTCTCCTGAGTTCCCTGGGAGCAATGGACCCCCTCACTGCAGCCATGGGCCCCTAGCTGTGATGTAATAACTCGGCGTCCGGCGGCAGAGGGGAGGTGATGTAACCAGGAGGCTGTGTGGGGCTCCTGGGAATAATCAGTTTCACTCCCTAGCAGATGGCTTCCTGTGCTGTTGTTACCTAACGTTTAGATCCTGTGCAGACTGAGTCCCATCGACTTCATAGCATAGTGCCTCCTGCATGAAATTCTAAAGTGGGTCACATTAGGTAGCGGAGCACAAAGACCCAGGTAGAGTGCGGCCATCGGCAAATCAGGTGCAGACTAAAGCCCTGGTCCTTCCCACTGCCCTGTCATCCCTAACTCAGGTGCTGCCTCCCTCCCCCCAGCAGCCAGCCGGACCCTGCACAGGGGGCTGGCTGCTCAAGCTACAGAGTCCCACTAGACGTGGGAGAATCTACTCCTAACTGGAAACTGAAGGAATGAATCAAGGACAACACGTCACACCAGCAGGTAACTCAGACCCCAAAGGTGCCCTGAGAAGCCAGAGGAGGAGGTAACTGGGTTCGGAGGACACGATGGTCTCCATGGAGGCTGGGCCCTCGGTTCCTGGAGACTCCCACCAGCAGTAGTTTTTACAGGCGGTTCTAGCATCACCTGTGCATGCGTTTCCACTCCATCCACAGGTTCTCCAACCTGTGTGTCCACCTGGGACCTTATTGAAGCGCAGACTGCCCTGGTCTGGGTAGGACCTGAAGCCCTCCCATTCCGGGAGCTCTGGGACCAGGACACACCAAGGACAGAGGCCTCAGTCCCTCAGCACAACCTCCCAGGTGCCCAGAGCAGCGGGATGTGGTCCAGCTGCAGGCATTGGCTGGGAGTGGACCCAGGTAGGGACCTTTAGGCAGTGCACAGGTGTTGGCCTCCCACCTCCGACACCCAGGAGAGCGAGGTTGGGTCTGACAGACAGGCCTCTGCCTGTGGGGGACCAGGAGCCGTGGTGGCTGCGGTGATGCCCAGTGAAGGGTCTGCAGTGAGTGTGTGGTCTGTGCACAAGCAGCCCAAGTATGGGGCCTCTTTCCTCATCCCAATTGGAAGGATAGAAATAATGGCCCAAAGGCCACTTCCAACTTTAGGTCTTTGGTCCTGTTACTGTGAGGCAGCCTTTAACATAAAAGTAGGCACACACTTAAACAATAAAGGGAGGGCCTCTGGTTAATAATTCTCAAACAGCAGGTGACTGTCTCAGAGGAAGGAAATGCAGGGGTGAGGTGTACCAGACCATATGGCAGGGTGTGAGGTGTGCTGTTTGCCTGGGGGTCACCCCGTCAGCTGCAGGAGCTGGGGTGCTCTCGGCCTCCTGGGGGTTTTGTGAATGTGTCTGAACAAGGAGCTCCTTAAGTGACACCTGTTATTCAGATAACTGCTGCCTAGCTGGAAAAACTCACTTCCTGTCACATGCTTATTTTTTTAAGGCAGGACAGGCAGGTCTCCTCTGCCCCCTGGTCACGCTGAAAGCAGCTGGTAAAATATGGGGTATCTGTGAACTGCCCTGCTTCCCCCAGCCAATGAAAGCTGTACTCCCTCCAAAGAAAACGGCTTAGGGCTCTAGTGCATGTCCTGCTACCTAATAGTGACTGCTTTGTGGACAGCACAGGAGCCGCTGTGGGGAAATGAAGTGCCTGCTGTCCCGGATAAATACCAGCACGCACGGCAGCTCAGGACCGGGAAGGGCAGGCCTGCGTGTCTGAGTTAGTGACGAAGCCATTGGGAGAGCAGTTGGTTGAAACGGCAGTTTACTCCTGGGTGACGAGGGTATCGCTGCCCAGGGAAGCAGGCACATCACCTCTTCTCACCCAGTGCACAGTAGGCACTTTAGTTACTCCTAACGTTTGTTTGGTTGGCGCAGCTGTGTAGATGAAAATCCGTGAGCAGAATGAGCGGTACCCATTCAAACCCTTGGTGAACTGCAGAGAATGTCACCAGTTTCCAGTTTGGCCCTGACCGCTGAGGGAACAGTGTTAGGAGGCAAGCCAATCTGGGAGGGCGAGGAAACCCCCTACGCCTACCCCCGCTGCCCCAGCAGCTGGGCTGACACTCACATGCTGGGATGGTGCAGTCTCTGGTGTTGTGGTAAAGCCTGTGGAAGTGTTTGCTGCACTTGGGGCTGAAGTAGAGAGGACCTGGGATGGAAGGAGAGAAGGTGTAAGGCTCCTGGGTACCAGGACGGGCACAGGAGGGGTGGGGAGGAAACCTACCTGTGAGATGCTTTAAAAACTTGTCCTTCATCCTTAGATCTCGAGGAACGATTTCTGTTGGAGGGGAAATAAGTTGGTTATTGTGTTGCCTGAAAGAAGCATCTCTCAAGTGACCTGACACATGCTGAAGGAACTTACCGGAACATCTGCATCACCTGTCACCTGACCAAACAAAACAGGCCTGAGCCTCCTGCCATGTTCAAATGTACATGCTACATGTGAACACCTGGCATCACGTTTCTCTAAACAGCATTTACCACCCACACAGCTCAGTGTCA